AAAAAGATAAAGAACTGGCAGTTCTCGCTATAATAGTTAATCAATAGATAATAAAAAGGGAATAATTTGAAAATTGATGAGAGTAGTGTATGGTAAACTGTTGGAAAACGTTATTTGTTGGTTGGTGTCTGAAGACACTGTGATGGAAGCAACGTATGGAAGAATGTGGGATAACGGTTTTGTTGGTTTGTGTACATATAAGATTCTGGTTATCATTGGTGCAATATTTCTGGTATATTTGTGTTGGTTGGTGTCCAGAACTTGATCTGGTTGCCGTGGTTGGTGTGCTTTGTTGCTGTAAGTGGTCATTGGTGCAGTATTTCTGGTATGTTGGTTGGTTTCCAGAACTCCATGTGGTTGGTGTGCTTTGTTGCTGTAAGGGGTCATTGGTGCAGTATTTCTGGTATATTGCTGTAAACGGTCATTGGTGTCATATTTCTGGTATGTGTGTGTAGGTTTGTGTCCAGAACTTTGTCTTGTTGATATCCATAGTTGCTGTAAGCGGTCATTGATGTTGAATTCTGTTCAGTGTTGGTTTCGCCCCAGCATCGTTCGAAAAGATTGTCGGAATTCAATATTCAGTAGCCAGGAAAACGGTATAAAGACAACGTTACCCAGGTAAATTATTTGTAACACCGGTGGTAGCCAAATCATCCACTCACAAGAGTTAGGATAAGAACAACTGACACGAACTAATTCAAATATTCTGTCCGGCATGTTGGTGGCCACAATTATTAACGCAGCCACTACAAGATGAGTTGGAACACCTGAAGATCTTTGGTTGATAAGACCACCTGGGACCACGACTCGTTGTTCGTAAATGAATATTATAATTCGCCCGACACACAGAAGGAAAGTGGGTAGGAGAAATTCGACTACAATCAACCCAACCCGTAAGTTATAATTTCGAAAATACATACTTTCCAAAGTGATACAATTTGACCATGACCATGACTGTGTTTTTATGATTGGAACAAGGATAATTACAAATAACACACTGATTAAGATCGTGCCGACAATTCCCGTATTTCTTTCTCTAGATTCATTTGGACTACATTGATGTATTAGATGGTTCATAAATAACAAAAACAAGCAGTACATGGTCACTGCGAGACAAACATCTGTTGTTACCAATGCACCAAAAAATTCTGGACACCATTCCAGTGCAGAAAGATATACATGGGCAAATACTGAATTTACGAAGATACTCTGTAGAAGACCAGCAAAGGATATACCTACAATTGTTATATACATTCCTTTTGATCTCAGATTACGACTAAAAAGAACAATTGCAATCACTGCACAGTTGAAAATCGTTCCCAAAATTGCAAATAAGACAAACAAAGCACCGATGGCTGTGCCGGCTACGGTGGTATCTGTCGCCATTGTTCTCACTGAAAGACAAAAGTAAATGTTATGACTTAAAGATCCTCCATAGTCCACTACACAGCTGGGTGTTGTCTACACAAAATGAAATGAAATGAGGTTTAACGTCCTACTGTTCTGCCCCCACTGGGATAATGAAGACTGGCATACGCCATGCAGATTGCTATGAGGAAACATTTTCCCGGACAGTGACCTTACGGCCTACTCTTATATCGTACGGCCAACGGATCGTTTACGTGCATGCCAATGAGATATCAGATCATTCTACACGTTGGCTTATGGATGGATATCGACTGAGAAGGGGTCTTTACCTGTGGGGGACCCAGAGAAAACGCACAAGGTTAGGCAAGTGACGATAATCCTTGTCACGTACAAGTGTGTCCTTGAAACCACGCCACTTGACTCAATGACAGACCTTATGATCTATACCGAAGGCATTGCCGGCATTATACCATTCGGCCACCCACCTCAATCCTTTCATGTTCCACTCTCCGCTTGTACGTGACAAGGAGTAGGATCGTCTGTCCAACCTCGTGGGTTTTCTCCGGGTCTTCTGGTTTCCTCCCACTGCTAAAGACCCCTACGCGCAAGCGAATTATTCAAGTTAAATTGATCCACATGTTAGTCCCAAAATGACCTAGCGGACGTTAACCCCCATTTCACTCTTTCTTTTATAGGTCTTTTTGGAAACAAAAAACCCAGATTTTTGATTTTGTGCTATTTATTTCATTTATATAGTACAATATGATAGATGCACATTACTATTATTTGTATTGTACCGTTATATACACGTATGTACAATATATTATATTATACGTATGTACAGTATATTACACGTATGTACAATATATTACACATATGTACAGTATATTACACGCATGTACAATATATTACATGTATGTACAATGTATTACACGTATGTACAATATATTACAGGTATGTACAATATATTACAGGTACATGTATATACACGTATGTACAGTATATTACACATAATATATGTACAATATATTACATGTATATTGTATGTACAATATATTACAGGTACATGTATGTACAATATATATTACATGTACTGTTTATTGTTTTCAGTGATTAAATATACATACCTCGCCAGTGAGTTTATATAAGCCAGAAAAACAGGCTATTGAAGACAGGCATACGCCATCTAGCGCGCTATAAGGGAAATATTGTCTAAACAGCGGTGCTATGGTCCACTATTATTTTCGATTCAAACTATCATGGATTCCTTAATGTACACACCAGTATCTACACAGGACCGCAGTTTATTGTTCCATCCGATTAGCTAGACACTTTTCCTTGGCAGGCCTTCCGATCTGCCCAAATGACAAGGGAAACCACTCTCTCTCTCTCTCTCTCTCTCTCTCTCTCGTATTACATAAAATACTGAATATAAAATGAAATCTAAAATAAAATTACTTACATTTATTGTTTAAATATCGTCAACGTCTATTACTAACATTTATGGGTTCTCCAGTTTTTGAATTTCTATAGTAGTACTGACACACCTATCAAATCCGGGTTCTTTCAATGAGTCCTTCTAGATAAATAATATCAACTGCATTATAACCAAACACCAAGCCATTATATAGAATTTAATAACAGCATTCAATTCAATCCAGTTGTACAGATAAATAACACCAGGTTCATTTTATAATATGAAAATATCCATTCAATACTATAATAATAAATAGTTTAGCCACGGGCCCCGTTTGGCCACTGTCTTGAGTTGTAGCTGCAATATTGTAATTGGAGTGTCGACGTGATCTCTACAATTGGTGCATTTATTGTTACTTTGTGCAAGTAAAAATAGGCCAAATGAATAATTTTAGATATATTATACCGTCATAATTTGTATTAAAATAAATGCTTTCATCTCAAGTATTAACCATTAAAATAGTCACTCTGGCTCCAGAACACATAAAACCTCATGAGACATTCTGTTTGGATTTTGCAAAATATATGTCCTGAAAAGTATGGAAGCCTATAACTACCATATGAATTATGAATGGTAGTTATAGGCTTCCATAGAAAAGGGTAAATCAAAAGGAATTTTAAGTGACCGATGGACTAACAGGGGCGGATCCGGGGGGGGGGGGGGTCGCCCCCCCCCCCTGCTCAGCTACATAAAAAAAAATTGTAAATCAAAACTTTTTATGAGAAAAGTTTCTCGATCGTGTGCTTTATCCTTTATCGTCAGACGTGGGGGACAGGATGGGCACTAAAAGCACGAGATAATGATATAGACATTATGTGATATCACAATTGATGCTTTGCATCCATGAAATTGAATCACAATGTCATTGTATTAATTCAAAATAAAAATTGACGTCATGTTGAATTTCTCTGTTTAAAAAGCTCAATGTGTATGTATATACGCCAAAATGACGATAGAGGCAATGCGGGAGGGGGGGGGGGGATACATTGTCTCAGGAACCTGGCAAACCCCCTCCTGCAAGAATTCCTGGATCCGCCCCTGAGTAGCAGCCGTAGCATCCGTCCGCACCTCAGTGGTATCATTCCGTTAGTGGGGTAGAACGGAATGATATCACTGGAGGTACCGAAGATGTAGAACCGGTAGTAGTAAATTCCTCTCAACCTGAACTAACGCGGTTAGTTCGAAATGCTACTAACTCCGTTATATTGAGGGAAAAAAAAAAAAAAAAAAAAAAAAACAAGCCCGAGGTTATGCTGCAGAAAGTTAAATTCAAAAACTATTACGAGGTGGTCTCCCCATTAAAGGACAATATTGGTGTCAGTCATAATTACGTATGTGATAGAACTGGTTAAATACATTCCAAATGGTCTTGGAAGGAATTATTAGTGAGCAGAAATTCGGCCGTGTATCTGTTATCACTCGTCAGATCAGTCAGTTATATAGAGGGATTACTCGTGTTTTCCTTTGGCGTTCGTCACTTCCGATTCAGGAAACCTGTATTACTCAGCTATCGTAGCAAGGAATGTGTTTAACCAGCTCTATCACGTATGTGATAATGACTGGCACCAATATTGTCCTTTAATAAAAACATGGTCATGCACGGACTTTTTCTAATTTGTTCGTTATCTTTTATCTACTAATGACAGCCAATAATTCTTTTTTTTGAAGTGTCAGATATCCTCTCACCGTCTCATATAATAGCTTTTCATCTTCAACTGAATTATCAGTGAAATGAAATTCGATCGCGTGTCTGTTATCGCTCGTTGCTTCAATCAGTTATATAGTAGGATAACTCGTGTTTGTCATGTTTGTCTTCACTTCCCGTTTCTTCACGTGCTTGATACACATCTCCCGTAGCAATGATCTCTGTGTTAAAGTTATATTTGGGATGTATTTAACCAGTTCTATCACATATTTTATAATGACTGACACCAATATTGTCCTTTAAGATGGAAGATTTCGCTGCTTGATGACACACAGTTTAATTACAGCGCCACACACAAGCTGTTCCACACTGATGTTGTGAAAGCCCCTGCGTGAAAATTAACCGTGGTTACTCTTTACCACATAGCAGGTAACTTATTAAGAATACAAACCCCCAAGATTATGGCATATAGGCATCAGATTTATATAATTAAATAAAACATTATATCTTACAGATTATTTGTCTATTTATTTCGCAGAAGTAAGAAAGTCTTCTATAAAAAATGAATACTGACATACAATTATAAATAAACAATTCTATATAATACAATTAAGAATAGACCTATCTTAGCACCGGTAAACCATACTATTAATATACTTAAAATATAGAACACTATACAACATGTAATATAATATCATCTCAATGATATTTATACTTGAAAATGAAAAATTGCAAAAATAAACGGTTGTCAAGGTCGTTACATTTAATACACTAAATACAAGCCAACAGTGAGGCCGATGTCCACCGCCAATTACGGCCAAACCCCCAAATAAATAGATGACACATATTAATTAACTGCACGTTAATCTTCTTTGAAAAGTATCGAGCAATTAAACTGGTATCTATACTTAGTCTAAGTATAAAATGTTCACATCAAACTCAGACAAGATTTTGAAGTACCTGGTAGCGAAATCAAAGTTATCTTGTCTCAAAGCATCGACCAATGAAATTGCTTGGCTATTCTTAGCTTTCGCGGGAAATGTTAATCAATGAACTCAGTCCAAGACATTTACCTGATAAAAATTTACATCAAATTTAAACATTCTACCCCAATTAAAAGCAGAGTTGTTATGTTCCAAAGTCTTGAACAATCAACATGCTTATCGCTACAGGTTATCTCTGCTAAGCCTTAGCAGAAAATGTGCACGATCATTTAAATAGTTCCCTGCTTTCTCTGAAAGGCGGGGGACAATAAAAAAATAAAACCACTATTATATACAATACATCTCATCGGTGCTAACTACAGGGTTTCTAGAAGCGTGAAACTTTTCATATTTGGAATAAGGTAACATTTTAATATTAAACATGCATTATGTAATAGCTAAATCTGCCTATTGCAAGCATTTCTTTGGGCTTGAAATGATATATAAATTATTAATTAGACATTCATTAACTTACCAATATCATAATCAACTCTCGATGCCATCGGATGCTTGCGAAATTTAGTAGATTCAAATACGTTTTGTGGTGGATGCGGTTACCGTAATAATGGATAATCGAGACTTTGTTTATTATCGTAACCACGATAGTAATGATAATCAGAGCTAGCCTATAATTTTATCACTAATATCGAGGCTCGGAGCGAAGTAATTTGATATTTTCGGCATATTGTCTCTTCATTATCTATTTTTATAACTATTATCGCGAGAGTTGTCAGCTCTTTATCTAACCTTACCTAATGCCGCTTTAATGCTTTAATATAAGATAGGTTGCCAGGCAACGAAACATACGCCCACAGCGGCTAAATCGTCCGAGCGGTAGACAAGGGTTGTCGCATATTTATTCCTTTGTAGGTAATTGGGGGCCTTTACAAGACAGTTCCATACAGATCAGATTATAATTTTTGCTGTTTGAGGGTTCACAAGGTTCTACAAATTGAAACAAGGGTCTCAACTCAACTCTGGAAGTAATCTACAGAAATTGTTGAAATTTGACAGGCTTTTTCGTTTCACAAATTTAAATGATGCATATAAATTTCAAACATATCGGATGATAACTTTCATCAATCGAGCATTAACAAGGTTGAACAAAGTCAAACAAGGGCAATAACTCCAGAAGTAATAAATGGAAATTGCTGAAATTCAATAGGATTCTTCTCTTTACTAATTTAAATGACGCACGTAAATTTCATACAGATCAGCATATAACTTTTGATGTTAGGGCATTCACAAAGTTCAATAAAGTGAAAAAAGGGCCATAACTCTAGACGTAATAAACGAAAATTGCTGAAATTCAATAGGCTTCTTCGTTTCCCTAATTTAAATATTGCATATAAATTTCACAAAGATCGGATGTTAACTTTTGGCATTAGAGTGTTCACAAGGTTCAACAAAGTGAAACAAGGGCCATAACTCTAGACGTTATAAACAGAAATTATTGAAATTAAATAGGCTTCTTCGTTTCACTAATTTAAATAATGCATATAAATTTCAGAAAGATAGGATGATAACTTTTGGGGTTAGAGCTTTCACAAGGTTCAACAAAGTGAAATTATTGAAATTAAATAGGATTCTTCATCTCACTAATGTAAACAACATATATCAATTTTAAAACAATTGGATGATAACTTTTGGCGTTAGAGCGTTCACAAGAAATTGTGGACGATGGACGGACGGGGGCGACGGCAATATACGTCCACATTTCTATGTGGGCGTATAAAAATAGCATTAATTATTGGCTTTCTATGTAAAAATAAATAAACGTTAACAATTTAAATAATATTTAAGTTTTATATTCAACAATAAAAGTGACTCAACACCGGTATAAAATAGCACTATTTATGAACTTAACAAGTCAAATAAACTACAGCCTCTACAAGCCCCAACTTTTTAAAAACATGTAATAACCTGGCATAACAAAAATGTACAAATAACATTTATCAATAATTATAACAAAAAATATAAATATAATAGCGGATGTTAAAGTGTTGTATAAGGAAATGTTGCTTAAACAAAATTGTGATTGTTTTTTGAATGCCTGTGAGTTTTTCACATATTAAAGCAACTAAGGAAGTCAGTACCAAGTATCCACTAAAAGATAATATAGTATGCGGAAAATTTGTATTCAGTACAGTATGTATATATATTAACGTATGTTTATCAATAGGCACTTTCATATATTTCGTTTAACGACACAAGTCATTATATCACTTTAATAATGATAATGCTGCCCAAATAAGGCACCGAACTGTAAAGTAACAAATGTACTCTACTAAACGACGCACACAATTGAAGAAGATATGGTTTGTCACCGAAATGGAGAGAGAGAGAGAGAGAGAGAGGGGGGGTAGCGTCCACTCGACACAAAGTAGGTCATTTCGAAACTAACATCTGGTTCAATTGTATTTCAATAATTCGCTTGCACGTAGGGGTCTTAAGCAGTGGGAGAAAACCGGGAACCCGGAGAAAACCCACGAGATTGGACAGGCGACCCTACTCCTTGTCGCGTACAACCGGGGAACGCGCTAACCATTCGGCCATCCAACCCCCGTCAACGAAATGGAATGACGAGGAGAATGACTTTCTGCCCATCGTCATCGACTGGAGATTATATCGGTATTATCTCAAATTTAGTTTTGCATCACAATAGTCATGGCGAAAACATGAGCTATGGTAATTCCATACAATCATTTTGAAACGTTATTGCTAATGCTTAGACCATTCGGATTTGCATTTGTATACAAAACATAGATTGTGTCCTTCATTATTTCTATTTTCACAATGCTAAAAAAATAAAACTGGGTTCACACGTTCACATTGTGTGCCAGCATATCACATGTATAACATAATTTGAAAACTTTATAAAATGTTTTGATCAATGGGCCTAAAACTATTTGATCTGAAATATAACACAATACAGAACAATAACTCTAACTTGATTTAAAGGTGTGGTTGAGGTTTCGTCCATTTGTAAGTTCCGGTATACGTAAAATTGAAATCGGTGCACAATTTATCATTCTCCTTTGGTCCACGGCTGCAAATAAAAAAAAATGTAATGCAATGTAGATTTCTAACAAGATTTATTACAAAATCTGAAATAAAAAAATCTAGTTAAAAATCTGAAATGATAAACCAATGTACAGGAGTATGTCCAGCACCAGCTTTGTCTCAAGTGCAGCTTATATATGACACGCTGTATACACTTAAAACCAGGTTATACGCTGGCATGTGGCTCGACAATTAAGTTTCAGTAGGTTCCCCAGATACACGTGGGCCCTATAGGTCTATGGTCTACCCTGCCTATCGGTAAACACAGCCCTGAGCACACTGCATGGCGTATGTCCGTCTTTTTCATTCCGATTAGTGCAGAACACTTCGATTTTAAACCCCATTTGATTCCGAAATAGGACAACCATAGCTGAAAGGGCTTTTTAGAAACAAAATGACCCAGTGCATTTTGGGATTACATAAAGTGTTATAATAAATTATGTAGGTGTAATTTGCGTTCCGTTTATTCAGACATGCTTAATAAAAGTGCATTCTAGCCAGTGAAAATTAAACATGCCCCCCCCCCCCCGTAAACTACTTTGACAGGGGTAATAATCCTTGATATACGCCTGTGAAAAACACCAGAACAACCTACAGGCATCTACATGCATGTACTGTGATACTAGATATCCTGAAAATCTTTCGAAACTCTGTGTAGAACTCAACTACTAGTAAGTATGCATACAGAGTCGGGCAAGAGCACACTGCCCGAGAATAATAGTATCCAAATTCAAATGTTCATTATCTTATTCCCCTTAATTCACCAAAGCTATTAGATATCTTTATATGCTTCAGACATGTGGTACTTAAAGCAAAATTTGTTTAGTAGATAACAGAGCTGTTTTCATTTGTTTTAGTTTTTATTCTGGACACAGAAATACATGTATTTTGACATTATTACAAGTCCAGCAGAAAATTGGTAGTCAAGAACCTGTGAAGAGATGTGTTGGAATATTCTATATATTTCTATCAGAGTGAACAATTTGGAATTTAAATCTGCAGAAAATAACAAATCTGAATTTGACAAGAGTACTGATCAGATAGTATAGTCTGTATAATGCATTCAGAATTTAATGAATAAGTTAGTAAATATATTTATGTTATTTTGTCATTAAATTTGTTATAAAAAATAGCACAAATGTACCTAGATATATTATTAACAAAACATAAAAAAAACATAACAAAATTAAACAAACCAATATTTAGTAGCAGTCATGGATTTATAATGAAAAAAATATATAATTTTATTTTATTCTTTTTTTATTGTTTTTTTTTAGGTGGGGGGATACTCTGATTGCTAGATCTTCATGGGTGCCTCCCTTTACCTGTGAGAAAGGCTGTAGCAGGACCAGTTTTGTAATCTATTTGTGAAGGTGCTCATTACAGACTGAACAGAGCAGCCTGGCAGATTATTATTTAAATCATTTCTAAATGACAAATATTCTTTTTTTCAGTCAAGTTCAGATATTTTGGATGAGACATTGTTAAGCAAAATATTATGTGAGAATGGAGATACTGTGGATAAGAAATTTTCAATTTAAATTATATGAGAATCAGAGAAAAGGAGACAGCTTCATGGTTTTCAGAAGACACTAATAATTACAAACATATAATTATCAAAAAATAGATGTACATTTTCGAGCATTGCTATTTAATTTAGTGCCATATTTATTTAGGAGGCAAGCTATTACCACATGCATTTTTTTACCAGAATGTCCAATTATAACATAAGTATTTAAAGAGAATTTCTAAGAATCATTTCCCACCTAGTAACAATATATAGTTAACTGCTAAAAAAAGCAATAAATTATTAACAATATAAAAAAGCAATAAATTATTAACAATATGAAAAATAAGTCAATATTGTGCTACCAGTATAACTTAAAAAGTTTTGATATTTTATCATAGTAACTATAATAGTACAATGGGTCCTCTAATGAATAAAGGGTTAAAGTGGGAGTGGGTACAGACGAAGGGAGACCGTTACTAAGGGGATTATTATACTCAAATATTTATATAAAAATTAAGATCGATTTCTCAAGTCACAATAAGATTAATGTTTCAGTAGATGTTGTACATACTTTATTTATCTAAGTGTTAAATTTGTTTATAATATATATTTTAAATTGACAACATGTTAAACAAAGTTTGATGTTATGATATGTTTACACCTGACCATAAACGTTTAAAATTAGAGCATAGTTAAAACTGATACTGGTTCCTTCTAATTCTTTGAAGAAGAGACATAATTTATTCAATTCTAATCATTCTTTTCTTCAGCATAACCAAATGAAACTATTCTTTAGGTGAAGAAAATAAACAATATTCTAAATTTGGGGGACAATAAACCGAAACAACTACAAATATTATAGTGTATGGAAATGAATATTAGGAATGCTGAATTGAAACCATTAATATATTGAAAGGAAAGTTATAACCAGTGCGACCAGCAATTCTGTGAAAGACAAAAACTATGGAAGATCACCAAAATTGAAAGACGTTAAATTGAGCCAGCTACAAAGTAAACATGAATTAATAGGATAATGGTTGACCAGGAAAATTTAGGATATCAATATAAAATAAATATAAATATCACTTTTGATACTAATAGCTTAAATACTTTATGCTCTTAATGAGGATTAGGTGTTCAGATTATTTTTTGATTTATTTACATTGGATTTCAATTATTTCAAGTTTATATTCCAGGCCTATTTCTAGAAAAATCTCAACTTTATTATTATCTAAAGTTTGTATTAAACAGCAAGCCACAAAGAAAGATTTTCATATTTTTTTCCTACTTATATCTACTACAAACTAAACATCTATAAGTTTCAGATAATTCTTAAAACAGGCCCCTTGGTTTATTTCATTTTTAAAATTCAAGATCTTCAGGGACTATCGTTTCCATTCTTTGACCATTTGTAAGTTCCGGTGTAGTGGAAGGAATTTTTACGGAGTAAGGCATCCGATTCTTGTGGACCACGACTGAAATAAGACATGCACAAAAAGCCTCTAAGTTAAAAATAAATAAACACAAGCCAAACAAACAAATATCATGCCTGAATTACTACATCTTCACAATGTCAATGCATTAGGATGTTTAGACTGCACTACATGGACAAAATCAAATGGAAGCAAAATATTTGAGAGAGGCACAGAGTTTAACATCCACTTAACAGCTAGGTCATTTTGATATATCTTTATATAATAGTAAGTTTGAACACATCTGTCTTTAGCAGTGGGAGGAAACTGAAGTAATTGGAAAAAACATATTCTATGACCTACAGAATATGTTGGACCATTTGGTAACCCAACTCTGCATTGGGATTGATGTGATAATAGAAGCTGGAGTATCATCAACATTCTGTGGTTATAATAACAAAAGGTTTTTACTATTGTACAGCAGGGTTTCAAATCCATACAAATTCATCTTGACATTGTGAACATGGTTATATAGTAAGTAAATAAACATTGATATCAACAAAACTTATTAAGTCTGGGTTTATAGCAGAAAAACAATCATTTTTCCTTCAAACTCTCAAAAATTATATGATTCTTTTTGTGTTAAGATTTTTTTATACATTTTAATTTCTAAAGAGAAATTGCCAGAAAACAAAACCGGCACTAATAAATGTGAACAAAACATTAGTAATTAAAACTACATGGTGTGGCCAATAAATGTAACATGCATTATTGAGTTCTATCTGTTGACATTTAAACAATCTAGCTTTAATTTGTGTTTTTATCAACATTACTATACGTTATTAATATATATCTAAACTTTAGATTCTAAAGCATTATTTGAGCCATCACAGATTTCACACACTATACATTAGTAGTTTTTAGTACACAACTTGAAATATGCAAATGAAGACAACAAAATATGAAAAAAGATATCCTATTTTATGTGGAAGTTACAGCCCAAATACCAAACCTTCCAAAAGGATTTCTAATCATGCTTAAATAAGGATATGGAATTTGCTTCCATTCTGTGACCTAATGAACATGACTGATTTTATGAACCTAACTCCTTCAGAGATATTCAGGAAGCTACCACTCAGTTCTAAAAAATGGTTCACTTTTTAGGTTTTTTAGGTACCTGCCTCAATCGGATAAAGTCTTTCAAATATATCAGAGATATGAAGGGCTGTGTTCACAAAATATTTTTTTTTTTTTTAACAAAAACATCAATTTACCATAGAATTATTTCTGTAAATATTTGGGTGAGTTTTTGATTTTAGTTTTAATATTATCAGGGCATCAACCGATAATTGTGTTATTTATCCACTGTGTGTTTTAAAATTTGATATAGCTGTACATGATGTGCAGTCATCCGAGGACTGGATAATGAGCTTGCTCATTCCAATTATACAAACATAAAAAAATAAGTAATTTGTAATGATTAATTGCACGCATATACATTTCTAAGAACCTAGTTCATATATAACCCCATCTAATAATGTATTTATCTTTATTAATTTTTTCTGGTGTAATTCTTAAAAATAAAGGCCATTATTATTTGAACTAACTGACCCATTATACGTACATTTTACATAAAATTTAACATCATGATGTTATGTGGGTTATCATTTAATTTCCACTTTATTTCTCTTTTAAACCTTGATTTCAAGGTAAATTATTTCAACACTGATGAAAACTAGTATTTCAGATAGCAGATATGCAGAACACACTGCAAAGAATAAATTTCAAGCTCAATATGGACATTATTATCTCCCTTGGCCTTTATTACCTATGCTTCATTTGTTAACTTTGCCTCCACTAAAATAAATTATATCTAGCACTTGCAGAGTTGAGGCCAGTGCCTTCTACAGTTATTAAGTCACGATAATTTATGCTGAGTATTTTGGGTCAGAAGAATTCTCATGCCAAGCTGACCATTAATGTATGATCAAACAAAATATCTAATGGAATAAATGCTGAACACGAAAGTCCAAACAAAATGATTCATGATGATAATGCTATCCTTATGGCTAACTGAAATGCTTAATAAAGAAAAATATTGAGAGAATAAGCACATGAATAAATGCAGTGTCTGGGCAATTCTTGGATAATTTTTTCTATTAAGCAAACCTGTAAGGGGTATTGGGTACATGAGAATATATATAGAGCATCCATTTAATAGAAACTACAACTCACCTGCCATAAACATATGGTATTGGTTTAGGTTTTTCTTTTTCAATCTGTTTTAACAGTGGTGTAAATATTCTCCATGCCTCATACAGTTCATCAGATCTCACAAAATGAATTTGTGAACCCATAAACACATCCATAATTAATCTTTCATAAGCATCTGGCATTTTTACACCCTGAAAATACAAACATTTAAAAGATAGGTTGTCAGTCAACAAGGGTTGTCGCATATTTTTCTTTTGTCAGTAATGAAAACATTTACAACAAATTAAAATCTGATGATGAGTAACAACCCATTAAAAAATTATCAGAAATCATAAGAATTTGTTTCGATTGTTTGTCTCATGACCTAAAACACTGTGTATAAATTTATATTAACTTCAGTCTCTGGCACTTCCATAAGATTTCTCAAGTAATCAAGGGCCACTCTGGCAGTAATTATCAAAAATCAATAGGCTGCTTCATCTCATAACCTTAAAGACTGTGTATAAATCTAAAGTCAATCGGTTTTTTCAAAGTGATCAAGGGCCATAACTCTGACAGAATTATCAGAAATCAATGAAAATCAAGAGGTTTCTTCTTCTCATGACCTTAAACACCGTGTATAAATTTAAAGTCAATCGGATATTAACTTCAGCCTCTAGAGCATCCACAACCAATTGTTGATGCCAGACTGACCATCGAACGGGGGTGACGACAATATACGACCACATTTCAATGTGGGTGTATAAAAATGAGTATCAGGGAGTTTTCAACAAAATGTTTAAAAAGAGAAAAGATCTGGTTTGACGTTCAATCGAAATTAAACAGGAGTTTAACATCCAACTTTTCTGCACCAAATAGACTAACGTAGACGTCTACTTGAAATTTTCTAAATGTTGAATGTTCTTGGTGAATTCATCTTTCACCCTAAATATTTATGGGCTGCTTGAGCAAGACTTTAGGCATACCTTGTATCTATTATCATAGGTCAGATCTAATTCACTTTCTTCACAGCCAATACTCATTCCTGGTGTCTTCATCATCATCTTCATATATACAGCTTCATCAGGTTGTACTCGGATCACCAACTCATTTCGCTTTACTTCCCCTTCCTGGAAAATATCCCCAGGAACATCCTGGAACTGGATCCTTACTTCAGCCTTCCTTTCATTCAGAGCTGTAATAAGATAAAATTATACATATTAAAACAAGAGCTTTTGATAGGTTACTCTAGAACAGCAGGGGGTAGGTGGCTGATTGATCTAATGCATGCACTTTAGATTATCAAGTCTCTTTCTTCCCTCGATTTCCCCTGGGACCAACTTCGGTAGATAATGTCAATAAATCGAGTAATGAACGACTATGTGTAATTCGTTCTCTAAGAAACAAACTATGATACCAACAAACAAAATTACGATTGATGAAAAGGTTTGTTTGTAATTTTAATCTACAGGGAAAACGATTTAGCCTTGGATTTAAATTCATAGAATCAAACTAAAATAACCAAAAGATTGAAACCATCAACAAAACTTTATATGAAAACATTGTATATTACCTTTTCCACATCTAAGTATAAAGGGAACTCCATCCCATCTTTCATTCTTCACAAATAAAACACTAGTAGCAAACGTAGGTGTCACCGAACCTGTAAAAAATTCAAATATTTCTGTTAAAATAACCATCAAATGAAGATCCAATCTTTGAATACTTTTTCCTGCCTAAAACTTTCAAGTGTTCAATATGTTGTTTTGCTGTACAGGGTTAAAACCATATTCATACATATATACTTGATGCAAATAAAATTCAACTAAATCCTTTAATTGGAGTGGTATCCCACCAAAGTCTTAGGCCATTATTAGCACAGATCTGAAAGGGTTCCCATCTCTCTCAGCATCCCAATTTGTTTTTTGTGCTTTTTTATTTTAGTCTGTCAATTTCTAACTGTAAAATTTTGTCTGTCAGACAATTTTCTTGTCAGCAAATTTACACATTTAATTTTACTACGCTTAAAATTTTATTTTATTTAAATCAGTTTATTGACATTTTTTTTTAAATCAGTTTATTGACATTTTTTTTTACTAGACATCGCAACAAAATATTTTGTTTTTGATGTTTCAAAATAATGTAAAAACCCTAGTACAGATATATCAATCAACTATAGATAAATGAAAGCCAAAATGGTGATGGTAGTCGGTCAACTTATGGTTCCCCTTTTGGGACCCAACAAAATGGCCCAGACAATGCTGCATTGTATTCACAATATACAAATTACTAACCCTTTGGAACTGTTGGGTCATCCAAATATCCCTGAGTTTCATCTCCTTTTCCATCTTTTTTACCAACATACTGACCTAACACAACATTCTTTAATAAAACTGGAGGTATACTCTTCAAAACTTTCACCTGCAAATAAAATGGAATTTAATTAAACGGACATTTAACCATTTTAGATTTGTTCCTGATTATAAATTCTCACACTATGCACCTTTGTTCATGTTTTGTTAGTTTATCAGAGCAGTTCTCATACTATTTGACACAACATAACTGTTAGCACAGTTCTGATGCGGCATTTGCATTTTCACTGCTTAATACACGTTAATTATGTACTCAGATTGATTAATTAACATTTAATAAGAAAACAAAACCAAAATACCAACACTAGATAATCACCCGGCTTGGATTCAATCGGATTTAAACTAGGCCCATTAGGTTTCTATACTACTGATGAAAGATGGCGACGTATATTCAACTTATACAATACTGTAGCTTAAAATGGTGCATCAGGAGTTAACATAAATATTGAACAAATGTAAGAAATGTTTATAGAGAAAATAAATTCCTACTTTTTCATTTCTGATATCTTCTGCTCCTGTCGATGGTGGCTTCTCCATGGCAACCAGACTAAGAATTTGTAACAAATGATTCTGCATAACATCTCTGAAGGAGAAAAAATAAAAGCAACAACATTTAATGCAGAATCTGACAGATATAAATGAGTAGATTTAAATGATTAGAAATATCGCACTCAATACTCAAAATGGTTCAGAGGTCATTTCTCTGCAAAGTCATAACACTATAAACCTCAGAATGCCTCGTTCGGCATTTTTGTCCAAACGTGGCAAAAACGTGCTAATAAAATTTTTGCCACAATTTTGCCACATTGTAACATGGTAAAAACAAATTGCCACATTTGTCTGGAGTTCAAAACGTATTTTTTTTTTTTAAATTGCCATGTTTTTGGAACGAGGTATTTTGACCAGAACGAGGCTGTTTACAAGGTTGGATACATGATTTTTCAAAAGGATTGGGGTGGGGTTCAGCCAAACCAAAGTTTCGTCGAGCGTATCGAGGACAGCATAACATTATTTGGTGACACTTTCAAGCGATTATGTAGAGAAAAAAACACAAGAGTAAGTTGACTAGAAATGACATTCGTTGCATAAAAGAGTTTGTTACATTCTTTGTTGCAGTTTCATATGTTCACACATTATTTCCAACAAAGAGATGTGAGAAATGAAAAACAGCCAAGTCCTTTGTTGCAGTTTCATATGTTCACACAATATTTCCAACAAAGAGATGTTAGAAATGAAAAACAGCCAAGTTCAAAGCGAGGCAAACTCAATAATTGTTTTTTAGGCCTTTGAATATTATTAATTACAAATATGCTGTTCCTTTTTTTATATAATAAACGATATTATATTTTTAATATCTCATGAAATTTTATGTAATTGGCACTCAGTTGTATGTATAAAAATTGCAAAAGCAATTAAATTAAAATCCATCGAAAAATGAAATAGACACAATTTATGTTTATACAATGACATGCAAAGCGGGGCGATGCGAACAACTATATTAAAAATGATAATTACATTTTCATCCTTCAGGTGACCGGCTTACGTCTGGATTCTTATATAAAGGGTCGATCTGGACTATATTTTGGAGAATAAAACTGCTTAATTTTGTGTTAAAAGCCATTAAAATCTTCTACCTTTGGACCGAGCAACTAACTCAATATACATGATACGTTTTCATCTTATATAAAAACAGGAACAGCAACTTGGCAAAATTATGGCAAAAATTTTAATACGTTTTTGCCACGTTTGGACAAAAATGCCGAATGAAGCATTCTGAGGTTTATAGTGTAATTTTACTTTAAAATTTTAATGCTACAATAATTTACTTTGCAATGTCCTACCAGGCCCTAGCTACAGTTATCAGATTAGGAAGAGAAACTACACAACAGTTTGCTCAGTCCTCACTCCAGCTGTGTGTTCAATCATTAAGTATGTCCTTGGATAAGACATCTAGCTTCCAGTTCACAAGCTATAATTGGGTTCCTTTAAGACAGTGCAAGAGTAAATTCAATGTAGCACAAAAATTCTGAATGAACTTTATAAAGGGAGGTAAGAACTTTACAGAATGTTCTGGGGTAATGATATGAAATGTAAGTCGTCAAGCAACTTTAGGTGATTCTTATAGACATTTGTAATTGCCATTGCTTTACATTACAGTCATGGGTCGATAAAATACCAAGGGAATACAGATTCAACACTGTATCAAGAGTAAGGATCAAACATGAAACATTATGATGTGGGTATACATGTAGCTTACTGTGCTGTTAAATTAAGACAAAATGGCCACTTATCACATAAGTAAATTCATGCATACAAACCTGATTATGCCAAATTCATCAAAATATCCACCACGTCCTTGAGTACCAAATGGTTCTTTAAAACTAATAACAACACTTGCTATGCTCTCACGATTCCAGATCGGACTAAATATACGATTACCAAACCTAAAATACACAATATTTCATCTTTATCTCGAATGACAAATAATTTTTACACTACTTGTTATTGCAAAATATATATATATATATATTTTTTTTAATCAATCCTTGCTTAATAGACAAATATTTTTGCTTTAACTTCTGGCTAACTGAGTCTATGAAAACCTATAATACTAAAAACCATGGAAATATGTTTAATACCACACATTAGTTACAAGGTTTATCAAGGATTTCGTCTATTCAACATTAACACAAGGGCAATAACTCCAACACTGAAAATCATTTTTCTTTGTTTCATGAACATTAACACTTTAATGTATATCAATATAAAATCAATTTCATTGTAACTTTGTGTCTGAATGATTTGTGCAAGAAGTTGAAGCCCCACCCCTTACACATACTTCACAATCTGAATCGTGTTTTTTATTTTTTTTTTAAAATAAAACAATAACTGACCTTAAGACCATGAGATTTTGTACCATTTCTTTACCCAGATAATGATCTATACGATACAATTCTTCTTCTTTAAATAAGGCAGCTAGATGAGATGATAAATGATTTGAACTCTCTAAATCACGGCCAAATGGTTTCTCAACAATTATTCTCGTCCATTTATCGTTGCTACAAAATAAATTGCATAAAACATAATATTTTTAACCTTTTCAATTTTTTAAATGGAAGCTGAATAAAGAATTCTCAAATTCTTGAAGTCTATTTAGTGTTTTTGACTATAATTATTGATATTGCAATTAAAATATCAGACGACTAGCTTCATGTCTACTCTCAAAAGGAGCTAATTGTAGACAGAGAGCATGAGTTTAATCTCGGTAAGACTGTGAGGAAAGGAAGTTAAAATTATCAATATCATTCTCTAAGTTTTAAGCATAAATAGCTGGGTAGTATATCTACTCTTCTTTCTAGTCTAACAATCCAGGGCTCTTTTATATATGCCCTTCCAATATATACACGGATATTAATTTTTTTTTATATTATTTTAACCATTAGCCTTGCCAGGTATTACCCTTGAGAAGTGGGACCAGGGCTTAGAATCTATGCAGTATCAAGAAGTAGGGTCATCTGCATAATTAATTATTATCTGTGTGGATTTTTTCCAGATCCCTCCACTGAGACACCTGTAGAAAAGCCAATAATAAGATATGGGTAAACTGTGTTAGTCTCAAAATGAGCGAATTTGTACAAAGTAACTTGTTAGACCCCATTTCTTTCACTTCTCGCCACTGACGAGACAATACCCTGGACATCTAGTTAAGAACTGAAACAAGGTGGTCTTCTGACCTATGCAGTTAAACTTACTCTTTGGTCATACAGACAGCTTTGAGATTTAATGTTACTTGTTCATATACAGATGGTGGAAGAGCCAGATAAAATAATCTGTTGGGTCCACCTTTTTGTTCAATGGCTTTATTGAGGGCAGCAAAACCTTCTGTTTTATCATAACTACCAGCAATATATTGATTCAACTTAAAAAAATCTTCCAACTTGCTTTCTTCACCTTTTTGAACCTAGAATATAAAATCATTCAATTATTGAATAAGGTTTTCCTGTTAAAGGGATTTATTACCAGTACTATGTTAAACCTTTGTAAATGGAGGCAGACCACCGTTAAATTTCACCATATAGGTAAAAACAAATTGTAGTTCATCTATTTATAGCAATTCTATCTCTCTTTTCTCCACTTTTGCATGCCCATTTTTGTTGACTTATTGTTCTAGAATGAACGAAGAGGGTTTGAATTGACATTTTCTGCCAGGTTTGTAAATATTCATGATTTAGAGGAAGCATAACAAAGTTAACCGGTTGGTTATGGTGATGTGTACAGCGAATAGTTACATGTTTTTACTATGATACTTCAAGTTTGTGTATCTCAAAATTTTGATGGTCAATCTCATACAAATTTTGGTGCAAAGACATGAACTTTTGTTTCCCTGTCTGTAGTGAAAAGCGATCAGCGCAACAAAAATTTGGGGGAAAAGTTGGAGCCGGCAAAGAGACAAAATTAACATTGAAAACAATGGGGAAATTATTCGTGGTCTGCCTCCAAATCGAAAAATGGAATTATCTCCCATTTAAAACAATTGATAAATCTATTGTATGATTCCATGCTGTTTTTATCCTGTGATGCTAGCACAATAGTGTCTAATCACTGCTGACATTCTCTTCATGTAGACAGCTTGTTTGTCACCAGAATTAACCATATGACTGCAACTTGACGAAGCTCACTAAAAACCACGAAGCAGGGTGCATCTTTTGTTTGATTTTGGTTTGATATTTACTAAGGGACTTAATATTTTTCTTAGAGAAGGGGATCCCAGTGATTGGAATGTCTATTCTTGTAGCCCTTGACACTTACTTTCATGAAAGGTTCAGTTTTATTTCTGATATCAGCAACAGTCATCTTACTCCTAGCATAACCAATAAATGATGTCTTCTTTGGTAGGAGGCCATCTCTGTATAACCACCTTTAATTACAAATAGACAAATCATATGCCGGTAATGTACTTCAAATTTTCAAATATATAATAGACACTTTAGAACATCAAATACATCAACCATATACAGACACTTTTAAAACATCATATACATAAACCATATACTGCCACTTTAAAACATCAAATACATAAACAAACCATACACTGATAATTCAAATCGACAAATACAAAAAAAAACCCATATAGTGCTTGATAACGATAAGAGGATACTTGTCGAAACGTTGTGCTATTAGAATAAAACCAGTGATTGTTTCCCATAAAAATTGTGTTCTGTTATGGTACTGGCCCCTTTTAATGTGTAAATTTCTATTTCTGTCTAATTACATGAACTACAAAAATTCCTGTCAACATCCATGTTTTGGTCTTAAAATATAAACCCCATTTTCAGGCCCGTAGGCAGGGGGGAGCAATGCCCCCGGAAAAAATGTTTTGCCCCCCCCCCCCCCCCCGAAAAAAAAGTTGCCAAATAAAGCTCTAAAATACCTACTGTAGATTGTGCCCCCCCATAAACCCTTCACTGCCCTCCACAGCCAGCAAGCCCATTTTACAGTGTCTACATGATTTTGCCTTTGAGACTTTGACATATTTAATAACTTTGTGAAATTTGTGAAATGGCTATCTCATTTAAACTTTTAAAAAAAAAAGAAAGAGATATAAACTCATACACTCTTTACGTGTAACTTATCATAAAGATTGCATAATTATTTTAATGAAATATAATAATCTTACCACAGTGTAGGGTAAATCTTTTTCTTAGCAAGGTCACCCTAAAAAATACAAAAATAAAAAACAATTTTTAAATGAGATCATAACTAATTATTCAGGTGACAAAAAATGTTAGAAATTGAAGTCACATACATATATCAATTTATACATGCACACAAGTCACAAACAATACATATACAAAACAATGTACATTACTATAATAAAAGTATGGATATTCAGTCTCATTACTTGTATTATAAACATTGTACATGGTAGTTAAGGGGGCTTATGTCGACCGAAAGCAACTGGCATTTTGGCAACTGGGAGCCTCTTACAACTCAAAGCAACTAGTTGCCTCAGTTGCACATGTTTAACTTTCTGAGAGAGAGAGAGAGAGAGAGAGAGAGAGAGAGAGAGAGAGAGAGAGAGAAATGGGGTTTAACGTCCACTCAACACAAACTAGGCCATTTCGGGACTAACATATGGTTCAATTTTATTTCCATAATTCGCTTGCGCATAGGGGTCTTTAGCAGAGGGAGGAAACCGGAGAAAACCCCCGAGGTTGGACAGGCGACCCTTCTCCTTGTCACGTACAACTGGGGATTCGAAACCACGCCAGTTGACTCAATGACAGACTTAATGATACAGCGCGCACGTGCTAACCACTAAGCCATCCAACCCCCCGTTTAACTTTCTGCAACTTGCTGCAACTAGATGCAGTCGACATGTGACTTTATAAATAAGCATAATGGAAGCGAACAAAGACTCCCTCATTTCAAATGTTAATGATGTCGACAATAATATACTAATAGAGAGAGAAATGGGGTTTAACGTCCACTCGACGCAAACCAGCTTTTGGGACTAAAACATGGTTCAATTTTATTTCAATAATTCACTTGCACGTAGGGGTCTTCAGCAGTGGGAGGAAACCGGAGAACCTGGGGAAAACCCACAAGATTGGACAGGCGACCCTACTTCTTGTCACGTACAACCGGGGAATCGAAACCATGCCAGTTGACTCAATGACAGACCTTATGATGCAGCACGCACGTGCTAACCATTCGGTCATCCAACCCCCCATATACTAATATAATTGTAGCAAGTCCGACCATACCCCTTGGGGTGCTTCTTCAAAGGTATTTGCCATCTTGTTGATCATGTGATGAATAAATGAACAGTCACGCGTTAAGTGTAATTGCTATCAGTTTCGTTAAGTGTAATTGCTATCAGTTTCGAGTCAAATTCAGTTGCTCTCAGTTGCTGATATGATCACTTGCAACTGACTGCAACTAGTTTTTTGAGTTGCAAAGTCAGCATAAGCCTGTCTTAAATTTGATAACAGCCTCCATACATGTATAAACATTGCATATTACATGTACTCTAGTAAAGGTATTGATATCCTGCCTCAATATACATTATAAAACAATGTACCAATACTATAATAAAAATATTCATATTCAGCCTCATTAGGTTTTCTGGGACACTTGTAGAGAAGGCTTTTTGTGGGTGCTGCAGGCCTGACATTTTTAAATTGGATATAGGATATGTATTAAAAGCTGTGGTATACAAATTAACAGGAACCTTGGCGATTGAAGAAGGGGATTGTGTCTGACATTATTAGGTGCCTTATTTCTTCAATTCTTGTGTGGATCATTCTCCAAGGTTATTACAAACATTATAAAATGGCAGTAAATGTTCTATTTGAAGCATATTCCGGTGATGTCATTTTATAACTATTGTGAAAATTCATTAAAAACTGTATAGTCTGATACTTGTACTCTATATCTAGAACGTTGTGTTATCTCAGTTATAATTATTTTAATTATGATTATTTTATCTATATACATGCATCATTTGTTTTATTTAAATCTATAATGTATACAAGTGTGTGTTAACAATCGAACTAATTTCATTCTATTTGTCACTACATTAACAACTAAAGATGTGTTTAAGTGCAACCTATTCTGGGCCTCTGATATCCTTCACCTTGATTTAGACTGTCAATCAATCTCATGTATAGATAATTAAAGATTTCTGGTAATTTTCTGTATCTCATGTATAGATAATTAAAGATTTCTGGTAATTTTCTGTATCACTGGTTTTGATTGGTAAGATGAACTGGAGTCAATTAATAACAAATTGAGCACAAGCCCTGCAACGCATCTTTAAACAGAACATAAAATGATCACATAAAAGTGGTACACTACCAATTCTACCTAAATAAATGAAATGACCCAAAATGTGACAGGTTTTGAATATGTTAATAAGTTGATATTTTACGATGATAAAGAACTGTACGTGCATCTTATTTAATATTGTATTGATAATGATTTTTTTTTGTATCTTGCATAGCAAGAAATATTGACTGATAACGGGAATATATCATAAAACAGTTGGCTACTAATTTTATATTTTACCATGACCAATCTCCGTTACATGTACATAACATAACAGTCTGTTATTTATCTCTATACTGGTAATTTTGATAAAAAAAATTGTTTTTTAAAGTTCCAAATTTTTTCACCCTAAAAAAAAAACATTTTGTGCATCTATACTGCTCTTCCGAATTGTGAAAGCTGCATGCTATAAAAGTTGTTCGTTAATACAATAATAATAACATGTGATTGTTGAACATCAATCAGTAAGTAAGTCAGGCAAACTGACAATCAAATTCATTAGTCTCATAATTTATTCAATTATTGGCGAATTTTCTAGGATTATAGGATATCAAAAGGATGTATTAGTATCAATCAGTATGTGAATACTAATAGATCTACAGTAAATCTCAGAAATAATTCAGACATTAATAATAATAAGTCATGTATAAAAATCATCATCCAGTCATAAAGATCACCAGAAAAGCTTCATAATTTTTTTAAATAATGCAAGTAATTATATAAACATAATTATCCTTTCAATAAGTATAACACGATCCTGATTGCCAATGTTACCTGCCACAAGTAAATTTCAACATTAGTAATTTCCACCGTTCTCTGTGAGTAGTCGTAACTTTCCGCCAATAAACAAGCTGTGACGTAACTACTTTAGTCCTTCTGTTGAAATTTACCTGTGGCAGGTCATTGACATTCGGGATCATGTTATAATTATGGAAAGGATATATTGATACAATTCCTTGCATTATTTAAAAATTTATGAAGCTTTTTTGGTGACATTTAAGGTCTATAACGACATCCAAAAAGAATGAATGGGATGGAATGAGGTTTGATGTCTCAACGCAATTATTTGTTCACTTCGAGAAAGACATACAGTATTAATTATTTCTATGGTGACATGTACCTGGACAGAAGACATTTCCTCTTATTCTTTGTCAATTTTAAAGGTCAATGGATCTTTTATGTGCACACAAATATGTATAATGCTGTGAAGCCTACCTTGTTCTCTATCCCATCCATACAGCTAGGCTCATTTTACATGTCAGTTTCGCATGAACCCACCCAGACCACTGACGACCCTGCTTGGAAAATCTTGGCCTACACTGGGATTCGAACACAGAATACGACAGTCCAGTGGGAAGAACTAAACCAAAGAAGAATGGGGGTATGAAAATTTGGTCAATGAGAATTATGCTATAGAAATTTGGTCAATAAACAAAATAATAATATACAGTTACATTTCAGACAAATAAAATTCCCACCTACAACAACTGCATTAGCGTCTGAATATGGGCTTATATCACAGTATTACCAGTATAATATTCTAATCTATTCAAAAGGTAAATAATCATATATGATAAATAAAGGTTATATGACATTGCCCATAATATGAAACTTGGGGGCTTCTCATGCTTTTTGTCACTCATGTTCTATTACCTGGTGATTGAAAAGAGTATGAAAGGCTTATCCTGCCACAATTTTAACTGTCTAGGGATTTAAAAAAAAAAAAAATGCAATCACCATCATTGTTTTAGGGGCTTTTATTTGCTACTTTTCAAAATAGACTATATAGTTCCTTGAATGTTTAGTAGGTCAATATCTTTTTTCATTAAATAAATTCACAAAACCTTTGTATTGTCAAGAAATAAACACAAAGTTACCCAACTGTGCAAATATTCAAAATAATTTCAATTTAATTGTCACTAAATAGGCCAAGTAGAAGAATGATAATATTACCGGGTATGTCACTCGGATCAGTATACCCATAATAATGAAATGCTGACTAGGACAATAAATTATATTTCTTAAGGCAATGACAGTCACACGCTTGTTATTTAACATATAGATATCTGTTTACCATACACCAATTTATATCCTGGTACATTTTCAAACCATATCAAACAAATCTCTTTTTTATATACATGTAGCTTAAGTTTGAACTAGGAAATGAAATGAAATGGGGTTTAACATCCTACTGTTCTGCTCCTATACTGGGCTAATGAAGACGGGCATACGCCATACAGTGTGCTATGAGGGAAATTTTGACCGGAACCTACTCTTATATCGAATTTCAACTGTCAAGGGATCTTTTACGTGCATTCCAATGTATACACGGGACCTCCGTTTTTCGTCTCATCCAAAGGACTAGACAGCTGTCCTTGTCAGACCCTCCGTTCTGTACCACTGACAAGGGGAAACCACGTCGGAAAATCCAGATGAACTTTCTCGGCCAATGCAGGGATCGAACACCCGACCTCCAGGCTAGCGAGCCAGCGTCTTAACCACCCAGCCACCGTGGCTCCTTGAACTAGGAAGGGGGGCATGTCATTACATATAATGATCTAACAACCTACTTGGTATTTTCATCTTCCTGTTTTATTTTCACGAGATGAACCTCTCATGGAAGTGTAAGATATTCATCAAACCAATATGGCTATGAATAAAATATTACATGTAGTTATTAGGCAGAGGGTCAATCGGGCAACATACATGTACAGCTCTCCAACTAATTTACATCCAACCAGGAGCATAAAATAATGGGTTTTTTTTGTGTAAGATGTAAACCATTTTTCGTTCCTGTCATGCCATTTAGCCCATCAATATTGCCGACCAGCTTGTATAAGCCAGCCTTCCACCATTTACAAGCCAAATGAAATCACACATAGCTT